CCGCTAAAGTCTTCGAGATGTTCCCGTAAATTGTCTGAGTATATATCGAAAAAAAATTTTTTTTTCATAGAAGGTATTTTCGATTGAAAACAAAAGTGCGCGTCCTGTGAAAACAAAAATACCAGTTTCATTTGCAGCCCTGAAATTCCAAGATGCCCAAGGAGACTGTGGAACTATGCTATGTTTATAATGAATAGAGCGTAAAATTTGATTAAAAATTAACTTGAGACACAACGTTAGTCTAGAGAAGATCAAAGTTTGGCGCATGCAAAGCAGGTGCATTGGATAAGTGATCTCAATGAGAGGATTGGCAAGGCTATTAATTTCAATTTCGCCTCCTAGTTTTATGTCTACGATTGCGATGCCTGCTTGAGAACATCCGCGCAACTCTGTAGTTTTCATTTTTCTTTCAAAAAGTAGTAAATTCAATCGTTTACACATTTTCCAATGAGGAATATTCAGGAGAAGATCTTTGATGCTTTTGTGAGATTTTATGGGCTTAGTAGATGGATCTTTCGCTTGCCGTGTGGTTTCACAGTGAAATTGTACAATTATGTTTTAATCGAAGGTTTACCGTACGTTCAGGTTCTAGTACATATATCATGGACACAGTGACCGGCAACTGTAGCTATGCTAGCACTCTGCCTTTTGATGCAAATGAATACTTTTTCATAGCAGCACTATCGCTAAGTATCGTCTACTTTATTCCTTCTCTATTCGTCACGTATAGACTCGCGTCCATTACTGGAAAGAAAAGAAAACTATCAAGCATATTTTATCGTATATTTCTGCATGACCGAATAATAGTAAGTCCTTTTCGAATTTACAGTACTAATAGCGATGGCATTAAGGGAAGATTGTCAAAACTCATGAGGTGTTTGAAATCGATAGTAAGAACTGTCTCTAGTCGAGACATACATCTACCACAAAGAGTGTTTCACATTAGCAATTGATTTTGATTGTTTCCTTTTGAGGTCGTACAGCATACAGAAAAGCGCTTAAAGCTGTAGGTAGATCTTGTTCGTGCTGAATTTTGAGTACTTCTTTACAGTCACTTTCTTGTAATCCCAAAATTCAAAAAGGTGGCTTGGCTGCAGTTACTCTCCTAAAATAAATTTCCGCAAGGCTATTTTGGTTTTAGGAAATTGTGAAAATTAGTTCTGTCACTTACAACTATCAAAAGGTCACTTGCATTTCTATAACCCATGGAAGCAATATTAAATTTTGCGACTCATTCTCCGAGGAGGGGGGGGGGGAAGCGCCCGCCATGGAGAGATGCCCGCTTTTAGCAAGATAGCCATGTCTTTGTGTCTTTACCAAAATACGAAGCGAGCTACACATATGCAACTATTCGATTTTTGATAATAAAATAAAAAAGCTACACATTCAAGAACCGCTCAAATCCAAGGTCCTCCGTTTTTATGGCAAAAATGTGCAACCACAGCGAAATTCAAGAAGAGACAGTTAGCAAATCCAAGCTCGAGGTCCCTACTGTTTCCAAAATTTTATAGAAAAAAGGTAACACACGAATATCATTTTTGTGATCAGGAAAATACCCCCTAGACCGGGTTTCGTCCAAACCTGTGAATATCCTTACGATGCACGCTCAGAACTGTAATCACAAAAAAGTTCGAAAATTGGGCTGCAATCTAATATTCCATGCAAATCGTATCAATGCTTCTCATCAAATTATCAATTTCGCATAAAAATATCGAGCAGTTGCTTGATGACACATGTGTAACTCAGATTCTGGGGTAACGTCAAAAGCTTGATCTCCATGTTCTGGTTCAATCGTGGAGTCAAGTCCTTTTTCACCCTAATTTCACGCATATTAAGCGCACTTGTTCGACTTTTTAAGTAAGCCGTTCAGCTGCTTCACTATGTTTCGGAAAGCGATTTTTATGCCGCACGATTCCCTAAAATATGCAGCACAGTAGGGTCCTTTAGTTGCGAAGTCCCTCGGCGTGTTTGGGCTGCTCAATTTTGGAAGAAAAATCCCCCGCTCCTTGTAGGCGTAAAATTAGGGTATTCATTTCAGTAGTCTTTTTTTGCTAACCGAAATTGAAGTTTCACATTTGATTCGTATCTACCATACATACTCTTTATCTCTTTTCGTAATGACATTTGTGTGAGATTTGATGGGTAAAATCGGCAAGGATTTTTACAGTCAAATTAGAGATGAAAAGTTCAAAGAGAAAATTGCACGCTACACCAGGTGCAAATACTCAGGCAATTTATGATGCTTTGCGTTATCTTGTAAATAATGTCTTCACATTTTAGAGCCTTACCTACTTCGTCTACGATACGATTGTCAACAGGATTCCTATGACCGGACTAGCAACAACAACGTTGTGCAAACTACCGTTTGGATTCGGTCTAACCATTGCATACGTGATATATCACTACTTCGCTTATGTTTGCCTCTACTCGTCTACCCTTGTTTCCGTGCTGCGACTTATAGCAGTTATTGAACCCGTCGATGCTGAGAAGGTATAAACAAACAAAAAGATTTCTTAGTACATCTTCATGAACATTTGAACTTTTTGAAAGATGAATACAACAAAGAAGCTACTAGAACGAATGTGATAAGTCTAAAAAAGAAAATCTGTCTTAGGACATACTTGGAAAGGAAAGCAAAAGCAAAAATAATAGTATTTTCTCAGTGTTTAGTCAGTCTTACAAAGAAGCTCGACAAGGAACTCACGGAGTGCTAAGGAGGATTGAAAATCTTCTTGTGATAGAAGTTCAAAGATACAGATCGTTAGCCTTCATAACAATTGCTTTGTCTCACATTAGACGACGCAGATTTTAGCTGGGAGAGGGATACGAGAATTCTTTT